TATACATTAAATAGAACGGCATAAAATGGAGGGAATACTGCTTGAGTAAAGAAAAGGTAAATAAGTTAACAATAGGGATTAAGAGGTTAGAGAAAGCGGGGTGAACCAAAAATCGGTACTAATAGACAATAAAAACATTAACTTAGACTAGGGATAATTTATGGACCACAAGAGTCAAAGACATCACAAGAAGATATTAGTAAAATGTTGAAATAATGAGGAAGAGATAATAAAAAGCAAATCAGCAAGACCAAATGTGTCTAATAATAGGAGATTTTAATGTTAAAGTAGGTGAAACCATTCCGGGGAATAATAAAGAAATTTCAAAGGGGGGGAAAAAGCTTCTAGACATGCGTCAAAAATAAATATAAATTATAGCTAATTGCGACCAAAAATGTGAAGCGGATATGGAACAAGCGCGTCCAGGGGGTTCAAGAAATCGCATAATACTATTGTGATTCATAGATAGGGAACTAGAAACTAAAATAACAAAGATGAAGATACGATGAAGGATAGGTTTTGGCGATGTGTAGGTATGAAATAGAGAAGGAAAAGCAGATAGCAAGTATAGTGATCACAATGTAGTAGAGGTTAAATCATTTAACTTCTCAAAGAACAGACGAAAGTAACGAACCAAGCCCAAAAAAATCAATCTTAATATTAAGGAATAAAAAAGCGACTCGACCGAATGGAAAAAAGCAACAAATATGTGAATTAGCCCAAAATATGGGAAGAAACCGGTAACTTCAAAGAATTATATACTAAATGGAATAATATTATAAAACACAAAATATCAGAGAGTTTTATCAAGACGTCAGAAAGGGGAGGTACACGGATAAGCAAGGAAATGAAGCAGCTATTTGACACTAAACGACGATTAAAAAAAAGTTTGAGTAAAGCCAAACAAGACAAAAATTATCAATTGAGCGATACGACAGAAGAAAGAATAAGACTAATAACAATAATCGATAGGAATACATGTTACTAAAAGGAAACGAAAAAATAAACTGCTGAAAACAATTAGAAGAACTAAAGAACAAAGGTAGGCCATACAAGCTCCGAGTGATTTGGAAAATACGAAAAAGGCTATTACCTGAGTAAAGAAAGTAATAAGCATGCATCCGGTCATAAAGAGAAATTGCCCAGATATAAAGTAGAGGAGGTGCGACCAAATAAACACAGAATATGTGGAATATTTTAAAGAGGCTAGCATTAGAAAAACCATAAAAAAATGAGAAGACCGTGAAAATTTATGAATTCAGTAGAAAAAACATTTAAAGATCAAGAACTATAAACAACAAGAATTACGAGAAGAGGATATAACCGACAACGAAATCAGCAAGACAATTATGATCCTTAAGGGTAATAAAGGCAAGAGATAACAAGGGATGTGTACGCAAATTCAATGACTTTGAGGAAATGCATGTGAGGGTAAATCGATAAAAGATCATAGTAAACTCCTATCTCAATGGCTTGAACGCAATACACAAAGCAATGCATAAAATGATAATTAAAACAGTCTATAAAGGAAGGGGCTATACGTGACTTAAAAAATATCAAGAGGAATCTTCCTTACAAATATGATAAGTAAAATAATTGAGAACTAATCTGGCCAAAGAAAGCGAAAATTATGGACACTAGCCCAAAACACAAGTGGGGGGAGAAGGACTTTAGCCACAACGGACGCATTTAATTTGTACTAAGAGGCATAATTGATAAACACAGGGACAAAAAAAAAAATTCACATTCTTATTCGGGAGTATCCAAAAAGTTTCTGATTGTCTATGTTAAAAAACGCAATGGTAGAATTATGGTAATAGAGGACTGAAGGAACAGTGCTGGGAACTAATCTTTAAAATGAACGAAAAAGCAATAATCAATTTAAGATACACCAGGTAGGAAAAATCGGATAATTTCATAACAAAAGAAATAGTAAACAAGGAACGATATTAGGACCCCAGTACATATGCTGCATGACTTGAGCTGGTTTAAATTCTCTAAATAATGTGAAAGTACATGTATTAGTGCACACATAGAAATCGGACGTTACGTTTAAATATGGATGATATTTAGGAATAGGAGATACAAAACAATTACAAAGAATTGCTCAGGCATGTCATAGATTAGCACAATTCAAAAAGACTTAGAATTTAATTTAACAAACAAATACCAAATGGTCATGAAATTTTCTCAATAAAGCAAAGGATAGAGCAAAGGATATATTATTAGGAAATCAGCGTACTCAAAAAAATGCACTAAATATACATATCTACAGGCGATCTATTTAATGACAAAGGGGGGTTAAGACATGATCAAAAGGCACGGAACCGATTAAATGTAGATTCATTGATAAGAGAAATAGTTTTCAGGCGCAGCAGGAGGCAGCAAAATTATGGTAACCATACATAGAAGGCAAGGTCCAAATTATACTGAATGTACGTTAATACCTGTCGTTCCTGAACAACCAGTGCAAACGTGACCAACATAACTAAGGAAGAATTTAAAATGTTAGAGACTTTCACAAATCGTAATGTCTACGTAAAATATAAAAGCCATAGCAAAAACACCATGAAAAGCAATTAAGGATAGAGTTGCGGAATTTTACCGAATAAACTGATTAATAGCCATAACAAAAATATGCTACTTCAAATATATAATTAATTGGAAAACAATAGATTAATGAGAGAAGATTTTTATAGCAACAGAGTCAAAAAGGAAGGCAAGAAACTGCGGAAATCGAAATCCAACATAATACTAGCAGGAATACGAATTAGAATATCATTTACAGGCCATAGCGATTAAAGCAAAAGAACCTGGAAAAAAAAAGTCTAAAGATGCAATACTAAACGAGTTAATTAAAAGGAGAAAATTGAAACTCGAGGCCAAAAAAAATGAACATGATAAACATTGAAACATACGGACTGAAGGAGATATTTATGAAAGTACTTATCATTTAACGATTCGTGTTTTGCATTTTAATGCAAAACTTGCATGATTGACCTAAAAGGATACTTTAAAAATAATTTTAGCGAGATAAGTGTAATAGATGTAATAACGTATATGAAAGAGATTGTTATGGAACATTTATATAATTGTGATAGTTATGAAAAATATAAGGGGGCGACAAGAAATAGATAACTGGAAAAGGACAACCTGGACTATTAAAACCTGAATTAGATATGTACGAAAATTTCTGCTCGATCCGTGACACTAACATGTAGAAAATTAGAGCGGCCGCTTTACCCCTTTGTTTTCTAGATAAACCCGCAGCTGCGTTGATTCGAGTGCCTTGTGAAATACAAGAGAGGAACCAGATACCAAAGATACAAAATACTGTTCAAGTATGTTGTAATGTTGAGTGTAGTAACGACCATGCAATTATGGTGTTTATGGGTACACAGTCACTTTATTCAGAATTTCTAACCTCGAACAGTAACAGTAACAGTAACCCTAGGTTAGCCTACGTCAAATTTACGTACAGTATTCAGTAAGACTAGACTAGGGGCCCTAAGCCTCAGACTCGGAGCAAACGATGGATGCTGTTCAAATTACATGCGTCAGCGCTCCGTTTTTTACATAATGAGAAATTTATTGCCCCGTTACAACCGTCACATGAATGTGGTGAATAGATAAATCAAATGCCTACCTTCTAAGGCTTCACCAATGAATGATATGATCAAGCAAAACACTTGCGTCTTTTATTAAAACCTGAATTAGATTATGTACGGAAAATTCTGTCGATCCGTGACACTAACATGTAGAAAATTAGAGGCGGCGTTTACCCCTTTGTTTTCTAGATGAACCCCGCACTCGTTGATTCGGGTGCCTTGTGAAATACAAGAGAGGGAACCAGATACAAAGATACAAAATACTGTTCAAGTATGTTGTAATGTTGAGTGTAGTAACGACCATGCAATTATGGGTGTTATGGGTACACAGTCACTTTATTCAGAATTTCTAACACTAACAGTAACAGTAACAGTAACCCTAAGGTTAGCCTACGTCAAAATTTACGTACAGTATTCAGTAAGACTAGACTAGGGGTCAAAGTAGTGTTTACACACCCATGTCGTGAGTTTGGTTAGTGTTAGGGTTAGGGTTAGGGTTAGGGTTTTTAAACCTGGGGTTGTCAAATAGGATTTGGCCAGACTAGGGGCCCTAAGCCTCAGACTCGGAGCAAACGATGGATGCTGTTTCCAAATTACATGCTTCAGCGTCCGTTTTTTACATAATGAGAAAATTTATTGCCCCGTTACAACCGTCAACATGAAATGTGGTGAATTAGATAATCAAATGCCTACCTTCTAAGGCTTCACCAATGAATGAATGATCAAGCAAAACACTTGCGTCTTTGTGTCCCTCGTCGCTACAAGGAATGGCCGAATTTCCGGTTCAGTATCGGTGGTTCCGGTTCTCGCAAAACCTCGCGCTGAAATAATATTATTCCTGAAGGTTGTGGGGAATAACTCAAAGTCAAACTGCATGCAGTGCACCTTCGTACTCAGGATACGAGGTGAGATTGAGCCGTAGGGTGAGCTCGTAGATCGTAGATTGTAGATTGAGCCATAGAAATAGAAGTAGAACGCTCATGAGTCATACCCAGGCACAGTTCCTGACAGTTTCTGACAACTGTCACGTGACCAGCGCCATATTGGTGCAGTTTCTCTGCTTAGCGCATCAGTCATCACTACTTAGTACTCTGTCTGTGTCACTAGTAAAGCTTGACCCCCCTTAAACAAATTTTAATACCTAATGAAAGAAAATATGATAAGAAAGTAGTACTAGTAGTTGAATGCCTAATTATGACATAACAAGACTAACAATGTACGGGGGAAGGGGGGACACTTTTTAGGTCGGGTTCATTATGAATGTAAATATGTGTCATAAAAATGTGTCATTTATTGAATATGTTGGGTCAGGGGCATAAATCTGTACCGAGGAGTGGGGGGATGATCGGCAATAGCCGCGGGCGAAATTATTCTTGGCTGCCGCAGGCAGGTCCGTGTGCCGTAAGCATGCTAGTGCTAGGGGGGTCTGGGGGCATGCCCCCATAAAATTGAAATATTTAAGCCATTTTCCTGCAATCTGAGGCATACTGTGGGCCATATTCTCATGTCTGATGACACTATCTCAACCCTAGACTCAACCCTACAAGTTAGGATTCAAAACACTTTTCATGACTTTTCAGAGAGGGTACACAGTAATTAGGTTACTATATAGTAATTAACTACATGTATTAAACACAGGTAGAATTTGCAATTTCTCACAATTCTCACGTGTTTTTGGTATGTTTTGCAACCATACTTTTGGCCTATTTTTTTCTATTTTTTTTTTTTATCTTAGGGGGGATAATTTCTACAGGCCATCCTTCCATCTCTCCTCTTTTATTCAATTCAATTGGATTTTAGCTTGTTGTTGCGATTATTGTTGCCTTAGCAATATTCTACATAATTTTTGATACTTCGAATTGGTGTTCCTCACATGTGAAAACCTATGTTTGTAGACACCAAAATCATCGCCCAGCTTGATTCTACTATAAGGTCTCATTGCCGGATTTCCCATTGGTCGATTAGGCACGGCGGCCATCTTGGATTTACGCCGAAATAGCGTGTCTTTATGACATCCGTTTGTGGCTGGACATGGATTCAGCATGTATTGAAAACATAAAAAATGAAACACTTTATATTCATGTTTGCACGACATTATTGTCGTCCGAAAAATATGTCATTTTTAAGATATTCGAATCGGATGGCGGCCATCTTAGATTTTGCTATTTGTGGGCCCCAGAGGAAAAAAATGAACGTTGGCATATATCTAAATTTAGTTATTATATATTTAAGCAATGTCTGTAACAAAATTTGGTGCTTTTACCACAAAATGCACAATCCTTGTGATATTATACACATATCTGCTGCACTATTGGTCAGATATAGTTGTACAACTTAAGACAGCAAATTTTAACTAGTAGCCTACTAATATCTCTAGCATCATAAATCAGGAATAAACAGAGAATAAACATATGTTGTTATATACCCCTGATAATGGTGAATAATTCAACTATCCAACTCCTACTTCTCCTCCTCCTACTCCATCAGTTCCCCTTCTCCTCTTCTTCCCCTCTCCTCCTCCTCTCCTCCTCCTCCTCCTCCTCCTCCACCACCACCTACTCCAAACACCTACTCCACACCTTCTCCCTTCTCCTCCTTAGAGTGCCCTATATACAGTGAAGGTTAGCGCCAAACTTCAGCGGTTTGACTCCATGTTGTTTCCAATGTTTCAAACACCGCTGCCCGCTTAAGTACAGCGCGTATGGTACGCTGTTTACAATGCCGTCCGCTAGTAATTGAATGTAGACTAATCGTGCTTCAATTTAACTCAAAAATTACTGAGATTCATAGCTAAACATGTGTCTTGTTAGCCGCTAGATTTATAGAAATGTAACTCAAATTGTTCGCGCCATAGGATTGTTTAATTGCTACACTTCTTACCGCCCAATATGCGCTATCCCCCCCCCCCCCCCCCCCCCCCCCCCCCCCCCCCCCCCCCCCCCCCCCCCCCCCCCCCCCCCCCCCCCTCTGCGTACTATTAGCCTGTGCGAATACGCGCGTAGCGACACTGCTGAATTTAATTAAACACTCGCGGCTTCAATAAACTCAAAAATTACAGAGATTGATAGGCTAACACATGTGTTTATATGTATCTAGATTTCTAGAAATTACTCAAATCCGTTTCGCTGCCATATCGATAGCTTAATTGTACAACTTTTCTTAGGTGTAAACACAGCAAGCTAGTCACTGTAATCACAAAGAATAAATGCGTTCCACTCTCCACTCGCTAGCTGTCTTACACATTAGACACAGTCTTAGCTATAATCTCTGTAAATCTTGAGTTATTGGAAGCCCAACGATTAGTCTAATTAATTACTATGGACCATTGTACAGCATATCCATACAGCGCTGTACTCTTGAAGCGGCAGCGGTGTTGATCCATTTGCTAAACAACACGTGCCGGCAGCGATCACGTTGACCGATTTTTTCCGACTCGTCATGGCGGCAATTCTCTGTATATAGGGACTCTACTCCTCTGCCTCTACTCCCTTCTCCTTCTTGGCCCTCCCCTCCTTCCTCCCCCATACTCCACCGTCTCCCTCTCCTCCTCTCCTCCTCCTCCACCCTACTACAACACCTTTCTCCCCTCTTTCCTCCTCCTCCTGCGTCCTACTCCTCCTTCTATCACCATTCTTCCCTCCTCCCTTCCTCTCTCTCCTCCTCCTTCCTCTCCTCTCATCCTAACCCTCCTCCTCCTCCCTATCTCCATCACCTCTTCTTCTTCCTCCTTCTTCACTGGGTTTTCTATCAATATCCTCCTCATCTCCTCCTCCTCCTCCTCCTGCCCCCTCCTCCCTCCATGACCTTTATTCGATTCTCCATCACCTTCTCCGACCTCCTCCTCGCGCTGCCTTTACTCTTCCTCCTCCCCTCCTCTTCCTCATTCCTCCTTCCCCTACTTCATCAGCCGTCATCCTCCTCTCCTCCTCCTCCCCCTCCGTGCCCCTCCTCCTCCTCCTCCTCCCCCTACTCTTCACCTTCTCCCTCCACCTCCTCCTCCTCCTTCTCCTACTCCCCTACTCGATCACTCCTCTCTTCTGCCTCCTCTCCTTCTTCCTTGCACCCCCTACTCATTCCTCTTGGATCCGTCTTCATTCGATCATCACATCACCTTACTACGCTTACCTCATACCTCACCACCCTCACTTCCCTCTTCACGTCACTCTCTCACTCCCCCTCCATCACGTTCTCCGCTTCCCCTACTCCATCACCTTCTCCCCTCCTCCTCCTCCCCCTACTCCATCACCTTCTCCCCTCCTCCTCCTCCTCCTGCCCCCTAATCCTCCTCCATGACCTACTTCATTCGATCTCCATTCGCTTCTTCGCTTCTCTTCCTCCTCCTCCTCCTCCCCTCCTCCTCCCCGCCTCCTCCTCCCCCTACGCCATCACCTTCTCTCATCCTCCTCCTCCTCCCCCTCCTCTTCTTCCTCCTCCTCCTGCCCCCTCCTCCTCCTCCATGACCGTCTTTATTCGATCTCCATCTCAGGGGCAGGTACGTTTATCATTTTATGTAAACACAGGGTACATATCTGGGTGCAAGATACAGGTCTGGTACACTTGTGTATAGGGCCGTAGACTGCGGGGGAAGGACAAGGGGGGGGGCAAGTTCCGCTGAAGGGGTCGTTGTCGTATCAGGTACTACATATATGTACCCGAGGTACATATATGTATACACAAAGTGTACCAGACTTGTACTACAGAAGTGTACCCTAACCCTAAACCGACCTGGCTCTCCGACTGTTACACGGCGTAGGACAACGTAGCCGACAACGTAGCCTCTCACCAACGTAGTGTTAAGCGAGAAGGGAACTTGTGGCTCTCCTAACCCTAACCCTAGGGGGAGGGGGATTCCAAACCTACTAATATACTAATAAAACTTAGTTAAAATTTCCGTTTTATGCTTTTATACATAATGTGTCAGATATGTGCTATTTTGATACAAACCAGGGGGGATTCCGGAATGCCTGGAATGTAGTGACGTAGATATCCACTTAATTAACCTAGTATAAAAACCCAGATGAGAGACCGGATACCAGAGAAGCGTCGCCTGAGAGGTGTTGATCCTACCCGTTAAGCGCGAATCTTGCGCGCAGTTCCGCAGCAAGGCGCACGCGACCGCGGGAACGTCCTACGAAAGTATCACGCGCTGGCAGCTATTGATCCGTGCGCCAAATCGAAAGGCCGTCGCACAGATCCATTGCTGCCAGCGAACAGTCTCGAATTTTAGCGGGTCTAATTCATTAGCAAACATATGCACACGCCATCGTGCAGGTCTAATAGCGATGTTTCACGTGACGTCATAGATCAGGTCACGTGCATTTGTTATGTGTTGTGGTTGGCAGAAGCGAAGCGTGCTGCTTGACATTTACAGATGAATGACCACATGTTCTGATAGAAAGCGCTGTTTACGCGTGTGAACTTACACGTGCGTGCATGCGTGCGTGCGTCCGTGTGTGTGCACGTACACGTGCGTGCGTGCGTGCGTGTGTGTGCACGTACACGTGCGTGCGTGCGTGCGCGCGTGTGCAGGTACACGTGCGTCCGTGTGTGTGCACGTACACGTGCGTCCGTGTGTGTGCACGTACACGTGCGTCCGTGTGTGTGCACGTACACGTGCGTTCGTGTGTGTGCACGTACACGTGCGTCCGTGTTAATTATTGACATGTATTGTAGTAATACAAGTACTTCCTAGCCGATAGGGGGTGTGGATTATGTCCATAAGCAGTCTTTAATGCTGCGCTGTCTGAGTCTAAACAAAACTGAACATCGTCACAATCAGAATTGCAAACATTCAGAA